GGTCATAGGTGAAAAGAGACAAGTTTTGATGAGTTAGATTTTTCGAGGAGGAGCTGCATTCGGATTATTTTTCTAGTGAAGAAAACATTTATCCCTTCCTTGTGTATGATCCCGAAAAGGAAAAGTTCAACCCACAACTTGAGGTTGGAGAAGAATTTAAAAACATTGAGTTTAGGCAAGCCGTGAGGAATCATGGGATCGATACAAGGATCTAATGAGCATTAGTTCGATAATATCTACATCCCAAGCAAAGTATTTTTTTTAAAGAATGAATAGTTGAAAAAGAAAGAATTTTTTTTAACTTTTCATGTAATGTTATTTTATTGAAAATGAGTGATTACAAAATGAAAGAAAAATATATTAATTTTTTTATGAGAGCCAAACAAAAACTAAGTATTATTAAATAAAATATATAATTAAATAAATTACATAAATTCAATTAAAAAATTGAACTTGCCCGGTTCCAACTTATTTTCAATTTTTTTATTACATATTCATTAACTATTCAAACCAATTAGCTTCGACTCCAAGATTCAAATCTTTCATCAAATTTCACGATTTTAAATCGTTAATTTACACACATTTTCCAGCTATGGCTTTCTTCACAATAAACTGCAAAAGAAAATTAGAAAAAGAAACTTAGAAAATCTCTTTTTTCTCTAACAAACCCCACCTACCCAATTCCAATCCCCTTCAACGGTTCCACCTCCTCCACCACCACCACCACCTCAAGTAATGCGCCTGATGTTGACAATTGCATTGGTGAACAAAAATCAAGGATGATAACTAACTGATTGAATAGATCACAAGATAAATATTTTTTTTATTGTTGTTTAATAATTTTTTAAATCAAGGTTGATAAATAATTATGTAGAATAGATCAAACAATGAAAGAATTTTTTTACTGTTTAATTATTTTTATTGATAAAATATTGAAAATAAGTCAAATACTAAAGTTCAGAGCAACAACAAGAGTTGTTTATATAAAAAATAATTTTTTTACCTCAAATTTTTTAAAAAGATATTTTAAATAAATTGTTCCCTATTTTGACTACTCGAATTTAGAGGAAAAAAATAAAATAAAAAATCCGAGTCTCAGACATCCAAGGAAGGATAGAAGCAGCATAAGCTCTCAAGCCCGGCGAAGGCGAAAGCTCTTAGGCGGCCACTGCGAATGTTTTGAGAAACAAGCCTTTGGATTTATCATCACTGACCAAATCGATTCTAGATCAAAAAGATGGATTAAAAAATAAATTAGATGCCAGTTAAAAAATTACAGACAATGGATACAGATCCGTACAAAAACTGTGTTAGTGGAAAATAGAGGTGTCTCAGATATCCAAGGAAGGATAAAAGCAGCACAAACTCTCGAGCCTGGCGAAGGCGAAAGTTCTCAGGCGGCCACTGCGAATGTTTTGAGAAACAAGCCTTCAATTTATCGTCACCGACACCATTTCCAATTCCAATACACACCCACAAGAACTCTAAATCAAAATTTATATACGGAGAAAGAAATACTACGAAACAAGAATAAAAGAAAGAGGCTACTTATTGGCATATTAACATAAGGGATTTATATAGGAGTGTTGAGATTAGGGTTTAGAGGAATCTTAGGGTTTATTGATGTGCAAATGACGGCTGCAATTGGGAAATGGAATTATCTAAACTTTTACGAGGAAAAAATTGAAATGGGCCAACGTAGAAAAAGTTTGGGCTTTAGCCCAAGTAAAGGAATAATTAAGGGAAAAAATTCACAATTATATAAGGAAACAATACATAAATAAGGTATTTAAATATCACCATTTCAAAATTAA